TATTTTCAAGAGAATTTAAATTCTCTGCAAAAGTCTAAAAGTAAATAACTATTAATTAATAAAATAAAATAATAAAAACAAAATATTATAAAAATACCTCTGAACTCCTAGATAGTCTTCCTGAAAACAATGTGATGCACCTTAAGGGTGAACAGCATGTCATTAGATATAAAAAGTAGATAAGCTAGCATTTAGCTATAGTTATAACATTATAGAGGATGTTTGGTATAACGAAATTTGTAATTCCAATGAATAAGCAATAAAATCCTGCATCTAATGTCATTCTACTATAAAATATATATATATATATATATATTGTATATATAAATACTTCTGAAATGCTCTACATATCTTCAATATTATTTAAAATGATAAAAAATTTTGACTCATTTAAATCTTCATTAGACTCATTACTAGAGTTCACTATTAAAATATATTTGTTAATATAACTTGTATAAGAGGAATGTTTTAAAAGGTGTGTTAACAAAATTGATATTTGTAATTTATTTTAAAAGCCTTCAAAGAAATTTAAAAAATATGTAAAATTAATCAATAAAATATTGATTAATTTTGATCAATCAAAAATTTAATTTATAAGTTGTAATAATAATTATTTTTTTTTCCTCAATTAGATTGGTATTATTTATTTATTAAATCAAAATAAACTATTATAATTGAAAGTTGTATATATAAATTTTCTTGATCCAGCTCACTTGTTTGTAACATAAAGTCTCTAGAAACAATTTATAGGAATGATATATTGCTCATCCATTAATTGAAATTAAGATCTCATTTGTTTAATGGAGTCAACATCTGCAGATCATCTCTACTGAATAGGTTGTAATAATTTTTGTATATCAATAAAATAATTTTATTTTTATATAACAACAATTATTTACTGTATATTTATAAAGTAATTTTTAAAAGATAACAAAAAAAAGTTTATAGTTATAATATAATATAATTTCTTGGAATTTGTATTATATAAGGTCTCCAAAGTTCTTATTTTTTTTTTAATATTAAACAAAAAACAAAAAATATATAAAATGTTTTAAAAACTTATTTCTGGTTCTGCTAAAAAAAAAAAAAAAATAGCTAAAGAAATACTTTAAAGTCCTCTAAAAAGACAAAAAGTGCTTAGAAAATCCAAGGGCCAACTACTAAACAAAAATCCTTAACTTCTATCAAAATGAAAACAAAAACATCTCAGAAGTGATTGAGATCTTCTAAATAACATGTTTTCAAACCTTCTTTTGATACATCAGCATGAAGAATGTTTAAAAAAATTTTAAGTATATTTAAAAATTTGTTATAATTTAAAATAAATACTAATTAATATATTTAGTTCCTAATAAAAGCATCAAATGAATCATAAAGTCCTATGAAGACCTTCATAAAAAATTAATCAATTGTTAAAATGGCAAAAAATTATAGATAATAAGGTTATTCACCTAGAAAATAAAATTTATGTGAGTCAACATTTAATAATCAAATATAATTTCATCAAGGTCAGGTTTATTTTTAATTTTTTCAAAAATCTTTAAAAACTTATATTTTATTTAAATAGTATATAATTAAAAATATTGTAAAACAAATATTTTTTGAAAAAATATATCCAAACCATAAAGATTTTTACTGAACAATCAAAAAAAATTTTTTAACAAGAATATTCAGAGTTTTATAAAGGTCTCACAAGAAAATGTTGAAAAATATATTATGAAAAACATATTTATCAAGTGATAATGCTTATAAATATTAATAACTTTAATTTTTCAGTTATTTAATATCTTATTGCTTTAAAAGCTTGTGAAATAGCATTGATCACTTTGTAAAACTATGGCTTTAATATCATGTTTTTGATTTTTGGTGAAGAATATTTGGATACAATAAATACAAATACAACTGCTACTGATATTTTGGCTTGAAAACAATTTTGGAAGACTGCTAAATACTTTGAAAATCTTTACAAATGTCTAAGAGGAAAGACACAAAGCAAGATGGCCTGTATTTTCAAAAAAGTCTAACCAAAGAAAGATGTCTTTGAGAAACAAGTGGTATTTGCAATTGCAGTATATCAAACAGTTCTTGATTCAAATAATAAAAGTATTTTGATAAATAAAACATTAATTAAAAGCAAAATAAAAAAAATAAAATAAGTTTTAAAAATCTTCAAAGTATTATAAATTATTGTTAATAATATTTTTAGAAGAAAATTAAAAAAGAACTTGGATTTGAAGAAAAAAACTCAAGTAATAAAGATAAAGAAATAACTGATTTACAAATTATCACTATAGAAAAATCTCTGAAAAATTTTGAAAATACTGAGAACAATCTGGAACTACTATTGGAAAATAAAGAATTAGAAAGAAGGACTTTGGCAATAAGTGAAGATTTAAACAAATAAATAAATGTAAACAAGAATTATATAATAATAAAAATAATTTTATAAGCCAATTAAATATTTTAAATTAAATTTTATTAAATTATAATATGCAAATATAAATATAGTTTATTATTATTAAAATAAAATTAAAGATCTTTGAAGATTAATATATAAATTTTTACTTTGAAGTCTTTTAATAATAATAGAGAATCTCCAAAGGTTTATCTCTGAAGATCTTTAAAGATCTTTATCCAAAAAATTCCTGATGAAATTTGAAAGCCTTGCTTTTTTCTTGGATTGCATAAGAAAAAGCCTATATCAGTTACTTTTCTATAAATTTTTCTTGAGATTCTTCTTATTTACACTTCTTATTAAAAAACAATTCTTATTAAATAAATATTTTCTGTTCTTGGAAGGCTATTCTTTATCTCAAAAAATCAAACCTTATATCAATATTATTTATATTATTGATTTGAAGCACCAGCAATATACTGTATATAATATTTACTCTTCACTATCACTTAGCATAATATGCTACATTACAAAAATCTGAAAATCTTCATTCAAAAAATTTTTTATTAAAAAACTATAATTAATTTACTTCTTTAACTAATTCCTATTTTAAATTCAATTAATTAAATACTATCAAATATCAAATCAAATTTATATAATTAAAATACTATACAACAATCAACATAAACAAAACCAGCTTTTGTAACTATAATTAAAACAAAATTATACTACTGACTTATAGACCAATCATCTTATCAACTATTAATTATATTAATACAACAACAATAATAACTATAATAATAAATCAAATTATATACACTTTATTATTTATGTAAACAAAGATTATACTTACAAGTAGCAAAGAACTAGAGAGACAGAACAACAAGTCTGACCAGAGGTTCTCTTGGAAATATAATTTTTTTTCTTATAGATTTTATAGTTTATTTTATTTTATTTTAGTTTTAGTTACTTTTATTTTTTTTTCTATTAAATTTTTCTTATATTTTAAATATATTTTTTTTAGGTAGATAAGTATAGCTAGTACTTGGCCTATATTTAGCAACAATATTGTTTTAAAATTTTTTTTAGTATTAGCTATTTATATTTTTAGTGGATAAGCTAGCATTAAACTTGTTATATACTATATATGTTGCTGAAATTCGTAGATCCTTGATGCAATTATTTGACGCAATTAATTGAGTTACTATTAAAACATATAAATAATTGAGTCATGACACAATTATTTTTGAGGATTTTGGAAATTGAGTTAATAGCAAAATAATTTATGCCACATGTATATTATATGCTTTATATTTAAGAGATATTAATTTTTTCTAAATATATATCTTGTAATATACAAATAAATAAAAAATTGGTATTTATCTATGGAAAAAAAAAATACAGTAATCAATTAATTTATTTTATTTTATATAATTTTTTTATTATTGATTTTTAAAATAAATTTTTTTATTTAAAGTTACTGTATATAAAAATTTAAAATTTAACCTCACTTAACATTAAAAAAAAAAAAAATTTAAAATTTAATTATGTTGATCATACACGTGATTAACGGAAATAAATCCTCACATGATCTTGTCGATCACAGTTTGCAGAGAATATATATATCCAGACAATAAAATTACGAGTTGCAACCTGACGATAACAATAAGGATCAACGGATAAAGATGTCAAATAAATTAATAGGAAACAAATCGATGCTACAAGAATTCAAGGAAAAACGAGAACTTGAAAGGGCACGAATCGAAGATAAATATGATATATTAGGATTCATTAGTTCTGGAACTTATGGTAGAGTGTACAAAGCAAAGGCGAGACAAAAAAAAGAAACGTTTGTATATTTGGAATATTCAATAACATCATGAATTTAAAGCTTCTCAGTAATAATTATTTGTGCAGTTCTGATGAAGACACGAAAATTCCCGTCTATGCAATAAAGAAATTTAAACCTGATAAAGAAGGTGATGTTACAACATATACAGGAATATCTCAATCTGCATGTCGGGAAATATCGGTAATTCTTTTTCGTAACATATCATTGAAAGTAAAATAATTTGTATCAATGCACTATTCTGATCCTTTCTTTCCTAAACAAAGTTATGCCAAGAACTTAAACACGAGAACATCATCGCTCTTCAAGAGGTTCTTTTAGAAGACAATTCAATACACATGGTGTTTGAATATGCAGAGCACGATTTTCTTGTAAGA